CGCATCGATCAATGCTCACGCTCGAGCAAGGGCTGCTCGCCCATCACACGACCCGAATCTTGCTTGACATGGCGGGCATGGCGGGCTGAGAAGCACGGCACTTGCCGCCTTCTCAAATTCTCTCACGACTGTACCGGCGCCTTCATCATCGCATGTATGGTCACAGCTATAGTAGTTGCGAACAGACAGCACACGCTCTCCCCTTCTACTCACCCGATCCGTTACTCCGACAGTGCCACCTTGTGCCTGAGCTTGAATCGACTACTGTATCGGTGGACTGAGGCTGTACAGTACGGAGGTTAGGAGACTATAGCGGCTCAATCGCGACGCCCTTCAATGCCCCCGCTTTGACCCGCTGCACATTGGTAGCAGAGGGTGAGTATCGCCGCGCAATTCACGACAGAAGAGGATTGCTGCATGTGCATGACGGGTGCGAATGCTCTGCTCATCCGAGTCGTGAGTGCAACGTGGGGCTCAAGTACCATCCGAGTTGTGCGCATGCTGCTGCTGTTTGTGTGCACTTCGGCATTCAGTGCGAATCTCTTGGCACCGACAAGCGCGCATGAAACGCCGCGCCCAATCACGAATGAAGCTCATGCAAAGGATCTCCTCGCTCGCGTGACAGCGGTCCATCAGCATGGATGCTGCTGCGCGGGGCTGCAATGCAGGTTCACTTGGCCTCTCCGGATTTGCGGCGACAAGCGCCCAGAGAGGTGCATGCGTGATCCTAATTGCTAAGCACGAGAAAGGAAGGAGCAAGTCTGAGTGCGACTCGATCTGACTCAAACTGGGCTGGCTACCTGTCATACACAGAGTCACGAGTGGTGAATGCGAGTCAAAGTCAAGAGCATACTTACCACTCGACCTCGGGAAGAGGACAAGCAAGATGTGAGATTCAAGACTCTGACTCACATCAGCCTTGCTTCCGCGTGCATATGGAGCCTATAGCGCTTGCACCTTCGTCCGTACAGTGACGCAATGTCGCAGCGACCGCTGGACAGTCTGAGTCTTGCTTCCTACCTGTCGCATATCCTTGGATGAGGGTCTCGAATTACAATCGTGAATGCTGGAGAATGTGCTCGACAATGTTCTCGATTGCGGAGGTCAGCGATCATTATAGTCATGCAGCTTCTGTGATCGAGCGAGATTCACAATTTGCGGATACCCTCTCACAAGAGAGAGGGAAGCAGGTCGGAGGCTTCACTTCCCATGGCGATTGTGACAGGACTGAGACGCTTCTCGTTGCTATTCAAGTCTACTTTGTTGTGCACTAAATACAGATGCAGGAGATGGCTTGAGCCAAGACGTGAGTTTGCAGGGTGATGAATAATGCTACGTGACAATTCCGGTGCGTGTGAAGGTCTGGTGTGTGAATCTGCTCGACCGTTGCGGCAGTCAGCATCGAGCAGCCGTCCGGCTAGCCGTAATGATCTCATCCAGAGTAAAGCTCCTGAACCAGCCCTGCGCTTTGGCGAGCTCCAGCTCGACAGTAGGTGCGATTTGAGAGCTGCTCGATTGGCTGGCTCGAGCCTCGGACCCGACAAGTGGGCCACAGGCGAGAACGAGCTGACTGGGTGCTCCGGTGCCCTCTCCAGCTTTCAGATCAGCCAAGTGTGGTGCGGCATCCTCTCTGCGAAGTGCGTGTGCTTTGCCTGGCGGAAGAAGCAACTCGGTGAAGCTATAGTGTGGCACAACGACGCCATCGCTGTGCAGAATGTTGTCACCCCGGCGATTCGCCCGGTCGGTGGATGCAATGAGGGCTTGTTTGGCTGCAAGATCAGGCTGCACCAATGGCGATTTCGTAGCTCGTGGCTCAGCCGCAATGCAATCCCACAGTCGCAACTCAAGTCGGGTGAAGTCGAAGCCGAGCCCTTTTCCGATGGCCTTTGTGTACGCTTCCTTGTGCGTCCAGAGGTCGTACAATCGTCGCAGAGCTTCAGCCTCTGTGTTTGGCGCATTGACTCGCTGTTCAAGTGCGCGCAGAATCCAGTGCGATTCTCGTGCTGTCAAAGCGAGCTCCATTGTGCCGACGAAGCTGTGGATGTTGGGCTCAAAGTGAGGCAGGGATAGTTCCATGACGTCGATGCCGACCTTTGAATCGATCCGATCGACGGAATCCCAGGCGGGCGCCTGGATGGCAAGCGCAACCCAGTCGCTGTCATGAGTGATGTTGTAGTCCAGCTTTTGTACGAATGGATGTGCCTGCAACGGGTTCACAGGACCGTCAGCACCAACTCGAGATCGGTCTAGCTGCTATCCCTTGGCTCACCAAGAAAGGCCTCCCCTCGGCCTCCTTTTCAAAGCGCAATCGAGACCAACCTGCGACTCGGCACTCATCGATGAGGGTGCTCATGGCCAAGCGAACCAGTAATTTGCCCACAAGGCTTCCTGTGAGTGAATCGCAATGCCATCGCGTGAGAACAGTTGTTCCCCGCAGCAGCGTACCCGAAGACATCTTCCACTCACGTGCTCGGTCCACATGTCGGACGAATCGCGCGACTGATCGAGCTTCTTCATCAGGCAGCAGCTCCGCAGCGACATCTTTGGCATCGCCGCCACGGAAGAGTAGAGCGGAGTGCTCGCTGACGTCGACAGCCCAAATATGAATTTGAGGCCCACTTTTCGGCGCGAGAAATTGCCGCACAGCTGAGTTTGAAGCTTCAGCTTTCACCTGATGGCTCGCTGGCGACGTCACTTCCTCACTAGTACTGCGCTGACCAGGAAGAGCAATGAAACACATCCTAGTGTTAATTGACCCGCGCAAGCCTGCGTTTGCGAGCCTGTGAACAATCTTAGACTCACCGAGGAAGCAGCATTGGTGGTCTGTGTCGGTGCGCTTGGCGTGCTCGTGAAGGTTTCATGCGCGTCTCCTGCTGCAGCCGTCCCAGAGGCACTCGAGCGCTCAGAGGGCCGTGAATTTGCTTTACTGATCACCTTCTTGGTAGGTACAGCGTCATCCATCGTTTCGTCCTCCTCGTCTCTGATGCTGGAGATTCCTCGAGCTTCCGCTTGGAGATCCTCGGCGCTGTGCATGATGAAATCCATAGTATCTGGCTCAGCAGCAAGTTGAAAATCTGGATGCGACCTGACGAGCGAGGAATAGTAATGCTGCAAGAGCACCCCACTGCAGGTCAGTCTCCAATCGATGATGTTCAGCAACTCTTTCTCGAGCATGTTGAGCTCGATGAGGGAAATGCCTCCTACGCGGGCGTAGTGTCCGTTGGTGCTGAAGGCGTCGCACAAAGCTTTCGAAGCGCATACAACTGCAGCGCACACAAAGCGGTGCACGGTGAGGCTGCATACTGTAAAGCCCTCCATCCTTTCGCATACCCTGTCTATATATACCAGCAGAATGAGGGCGCAAGATTTGTCCAAAGAGGTGTATCTGGCGATGCGGTGTAAGTACGATTCGATACTGATTGCGGGGGTCGCCCTCGAGTGGAACCGAGTCAAGGCAGATGGATGCAGCGGCAGCTGATCATTGTGTGTTGTCAATCGCGTGAGCATGTCCGCTGAGCGGTGCGAGATGGATGTCAAGAACATTTCCGGACCAATCTCAGCTTTGTGTGACTGTAGGCAGCCCCGAGAAAGCATCTGATCCCTCATCACAACTACTCACCTACGAGTACGATAACGTCGTCTGGCTGTGCATCTTCGAAAGAGCCGGGTAGAACCCTGGTCGATGGTTCCCCAGTCGCAGCCAGACTGCTAGTTGAAGCAGTGGATGCTGGCTTTGCCTTTTCGGACGGCGGCGTTGTGCGATGTGTCGTAGTGCTGCCCAACGCGGTTGCAGACCTCCTTTCCCCGCCATTGCTGACGCTCCCGCTGCCCATGTTCGAAGATGCTCCCAAGCTGCCCGAGCCTGACCCTGAGGCAGGTGCAGAAGTTATGGAGCCCGAGCCTGGTGCGTATCCGCTTGCTGCTCCCCCAGATCTGGCTGAAAGCCCATCGCTGCCCATTCGAGCCCCAGCGACGGCTGATGCGGGTGCAATGCTGTGCTCCCTCGATCTGGAAGCCGAGGCAGACCTCGACCGGTCCTTGCGAGCATCCGCAATAAGCCCCAGCTCTTCGGTAATGGATCGACGCATACCGCTCGAGCCTGCCAGACCCCCGAGTACAGTACCAATGGAAGGTGAAACATCTTGGACGTGATTATTTGCAAAGATGACGTCAGATGGGCTCGCCCTTTTGGAAGGAGAGGTGCTCGAGGTGGACCTCGAGGGTGAGGACGTGTTGGATGCCAGCGCCATGTTGCACGGCTGTGTTCGAAGATGAGCGAATTCTCGCGGGTCGCAGACTCGATTGGATCAAAGTTGAAGCTTGCGCGTTTCCAAGATGACTGACTTGCTCCTTCCGGACCCTAGTCCGGCTTTGAGCTGCGTGAGAAAGAAACGGAGGACGCCATAAGCACTTTGAGCGCTATCAGGGTGTTGGAGAGGGATGCTACCCGAATCGTTGAAGCGCGGATATCTCAACCTCTGATAGAGCGAGGTATGACAGCGGAAAGGTTACCAAGCTGATGGCAGCTGAAGAGGAAGATTCCGTTGCCAGGCGCACCCCACCGAGGCACGAGACTCATCGCGTGAATTGTGCGAGCGCTTCCGGCCCGGCGGCCATGACACATATGCTGTTACACATGCATGCTTTGCTACCTCATGCCTCTTCTTCCATGGACCACTTTCAGGTCGCCTGTCAAATGCAGCAAACTCATCGGAACATGCAGCAGGCACGGTCTTGCATGGAACGTGCGCGCGAATTCACGTGATACCCCAATGTCGATCGTGAATTCACGATTTTGGCTTTGATCTTCAATCACGAATCAAGAATCCCACAGCCAAATCCTTTGGCTGGCCATTCGATCCTGATTCGCGACCTCGTCCATCGGAGTCAAGACAGCTCAAAGTGAGTCACAAAACTTCGTGTCTGGGGCTTGAGCATCAAAGGCGTGTAGCTCAAGAGGACGTGAGCCTGAAATGGAGCAGGATTTGTGCAGGGCAATATCCGAGCTCAAGCTACGCGAGCACAAACGAGGGCTCCGAAGCCGTGTCAAGACGGTCTGTCGGATGCATTCGATGTTCAATGAAACATGCATTGGACATGAATCGCAAATTTTGGGAATGTACCAGGCATGAATGCTGAGTCCAGTCTTGTCGGGACAGGGCAGCCCGAGTTCTCTGTGACTCGAGGTAGTCTGACGACCCAGGAGTCGTATAAGATCAGACACCTCCTTGCCCAGTCATACCCGTGCCATCCCTGATCTTTGCAATGTCACTCGCTGTATCTCGAAAGGAGAGCCGGCAGTGAGCGTGCGACCTCAAAGCAAATGAGAATGCGTAGCGGACATACCAGTGAGATAGGATCTTTGGCTCGAAAGCACGTCCTCAAAGATTCTGTACCGGTCCACAATATTCAATCAGCAGGGCGACCATCGTGATTGCGCTCGGAGGCGAGAAGCCCTACAGTAGATTTGACAACGACTCACCGACTCATCTCGGCTTCGCCCTTCGTGCGGCCATTGGTATTCGGCGATGCTGAGCCCGCTTCACCTTGAGGCCCCAAGAACTGTCCTTCCAAAAAGGCGCGCAAGCCGTCCCAGAATTCTATCGTCAAGGCAAACCGGAATCTGTCAGAGACAAGTGCCAACGGAAATGTTGGGCGCCTCAAGCTTCACTTACCGACGCTGTGGTTGAGGTGAATGATTTTTCCCGCGAAATTCGTGAGCAGCTGAGCCAGCGATCATTCTCTATTAACGGTCTGCCTGTGGCTCACTTACCTACTGATCCGCGCCAAATGCAAATTGCTGATGCTCGCGCTAGACGTCATTCTGCCTTGCGAGTCCTGCAAAGGTCCGTGGCTCGGTCCTTGATGTCCAGGTGTCAGTGGTCTGCTTCCACTTTGAGGTCCACCAACCAAATCATCATGATCCGTCGTAAGAGTCAATTCTGGGACCGATATTGAGGATGTAGACCGATGATGCGATTTCTTGCCGCTCGCGGCTGGCGACAAGCTTTGCAGCGTTGAGCTGGGCGCTGGTGCTTGAGGTGTCGATGGTACATCAGCTGGCACTGTGGCCGCTTCGGCACCTTGTTCCTGGGCAGAGGGGACGTTCGTGTATGCGTCAGATGGGCAAGGCTCTCTGATCCGAGGGTGTCTGCAGCACGTCGTTTAGACAACGACTCTTGCACAACGTCGCACTTCGCAACCCAAGGTCCGGCTAACCGCACGCAACTGTCCATTCATGTATTTGGGCTCTCCTTCCATCCTGAGCAGCGGACGTGTATCGCGACAAGATTGATGGAGCCGGAGCTTTTCATGCACCTATCGCCTCTAGTATCCGTTCACGCTCTCTTGTGTCCTGCCCTGCTCCTGCGCTTGCGCAAGTTCCGATCGAAGGGGACTCACTTCATACTGCTTAGGTGTGAAGGTCTTTTGCGAGAACGCGTGAAGCTCTGCGATCTGATCCTTGAGCAAGTCATTGACTAGGCGATGTCTTTTCAGCGTCGTAAGGCTGTGCATGCAGCATCAGAAGATGAGCTTCAAGCGCTTGAATGGGCACAGATGTAGCTGGCACTGGCTCACCCCTCAAAGATCGGAGAAACAATGATGACGTCGTAGGCCTGAAGACGATGAGCAGCGCAATCAGCATCGCTGGTAATGAGAGCTCCGTCACTTGGTGCTTGCACTACTGGATAGCCATGGCCTAGGCGGCCCTCTAACCAGCAAGCTTGGTCTGCCTGCAAGAGCGCCTTTCGCCTCGCCGGGCCGTGTGTTGCCAAATTGCTAGTGCCTGCAACTGTCACTTACTTGTCCACATCCACCAGAAACATCAGACACAACCTGTGCAGAGATGTACAGAGTAATGTAGGGTCAGCGAGAGAGCTGGACATGTCGCAGCCGCTAGACATGCGGATGTCCGAGCTAAGCAACGCTGCTCACCAGTGCTGTGACGCCATCCACTTGTGCCCTGATGGCAGCTTCCAGCTCAGCTTGCGACACCATCTTGAGAGCCAGTCGAGTACCTCCACCTAGCGAGCGTGCGTGCGCGAAGTCAAAGTATACTCAAATGCGTGGCTGATTCCAGTCGTCAGCTTGTCCTGCCTCAGTGCTGTCAACCTCGTGTTCTGCAATGGATGACAGCGAGAGATTGAGTATCGATTGTCGCTGCGAGATTGGGGTCGTGGGATCGCTTGGAAGAGTGTGAGCGCGTCGTGACGCGTTGTGACCAGCGTGGCTCAGAGTCACTTGAGTGAAATTGTCTCGAGTGCCTTGGTGTGTTGATCGTGGTGGAGAGAAACTTCTCTATTGCGCCGAAGCGACGTACGTGACCGACTCCAGCAGTAGGATGCTGTTCGCCTGAAGCCGTCTTCAGCCTTGCGTAGTCACGCGTTGAGGTACCGTCATCAGCAACGGCTGCAGCGGTGAGATCCGTGCATATGAATTTGCGTCACCAATCGTGAATCGTGAATCACGAATCAGAATGGGTGACTTCTGATGAGTGGCGCAAGGAGCAGCGCGTTCAAATTCATGCCGCGCATATCACGTGAGCTGACTCTCCACACGCCGCTTCCTGTGTTCCTCCTCGCATGCACGCATCCCTACCTCATCATCATCTGCGCCTCATCTCTCATCCTCATCATCATCGCCTCATCGCCTTCGCTGCCTCATTGTCGAGAGCAAGTGCTGCCCGTTACAACCTCTTTAAAGAGCGATGAGATTCCAGCTGAGCCCTCATGTCGTCTCTCTTTCGATACACAGCATTCGCAAGAACTAGGAGCATCTCCGCCAAAACACGGAAGAAGAGGTTGCAAGCGATATTGACCTATACTGGAGATCGCTTACTCCGTGTATCTCGACGCATCAAGCCCGAGGTATGAAGCCCTTCGGTCCAGGCTGGTGTCGTCCGCTCTGCTCCCAATTTGGAGTGTCGTCCCTTTTCATCCCGAGTAGGCGAGGCTTTTTCGCTCTGACCTTTAACAATTCAAAGCTTGTCTCTGGAACTGGCAAGATTACCACCCAAAATGCCTCTGCATGTGGCCACAGGGCGTTTGCAAACAAGGAGGGGGCCCGCCATTCTCCAACCACCTCAAGCGCACGCATGACGACACAAGCAGCAGGCCAAGTCAAGTCAAACGATGTAGCACTCAAGCCTTATGGCTTGGAAGCCGCTGAGCCGGCCTCTGAGCTTCTTAACCAAGGCCCCAAGCTCAGACCGTATCAAGGTATATCACGAAATATCACGCACGCGGCGTCTGCATGCTGAGCTACTGACAATCCGACCCCGCTCACCCAAACAGAGGAATGCGTCATCGAGTGCTTGCAAGCAATCAGCGAAGGATCCAAGCGGATAGGCGTCAGCTCTCCCACTGGGAGCGGCAAGGTGCGTAGCGTCTTTCCAACGTTCCCTTGTGTGTACTCCAATGCATTCATCGACTTGGCCCTTCCCTCACAGACCACAATTTTCACCTCTCTGCTAGCGCGCTTGCCGGAACTACCGGCCAAGTACGGCAGATCAGCAAATCAAGTACTCATTATCGTGTCCTCGATCGAGCTAGCCCTTCAGACTGCAGAGGTGGTGAGCAGAACTTATCCTTCCTTACTGGTCGAAATCGAGCAAGGCTCTAAGTTTCACGCTACAGGAGCAGCCGACGTAACAGTCGCCACCATCCAAACGCTGAATAGATCGGAAGAACGATTGAACAAATTCGATCCAAGGAACTTCAAAGGCGTCATCGTCGATGAAGCGCATCATGCTGCAAGTCCAAGCTACAGGAGCGTCCTCCATCATTTCAATCCAAATGTAGGGCGACCAGAGACACTCTCGCAGGATGACGTTGAAGGAGACGTGAAGCAGCCTGTTTTCCCGATGGAAGCTGCACTTGCCAAGCACGACTTGCCGATCGTCGGATTCTCAGCTACATTCGCACGGCACGATGGTGTGGCTCTGGGCTCAGTCTTTGAGCGCATAGTCTTCCACCGAGACTTTTTGGAGGTGAGCTCGGTCTATGTGGGTGAGTAGGTCTAGGTACTAACGTCAACATTGATCCCGCCACAGATGATTGAGGAGGAGTGGTGAGGCTAGGTCAAAGCTCAAATGAGCTGCCCAAAAATGCTGAGCTGGACCCGCTTCTCTTTGCTCCGATCAGGCTTTGTCCAGTGCGCTTCACTGCTGTTCGAGCCTCCATCGACTTCTCCGAAGTGCGGCTCACAGGGCCTTCAGGAGATTTTTCGCCAACCTCTCTCGCTGCTGTTGTGGATAAGCCGGTGATCAATCGCTTGATAGTTCGCACGTGGCTCGACAAAGCGAAAGGTCGTCGCTCAACGTTGGTCTTCTGCGTCAATATTGCTCACGTGGAATCACTGACTGCCGAGTTTCGTCAAGCTGGCATCGACGCGCGCTGGCTACATGGCTCTACGCCCATCAGGGAGCGAAGGCAATTGTTGCAAGACTTCGAGAATGGGGTGTATCCTGTCCTCGTAAACTGTGCAGTCCTCACAGAAGGTGCGGATGTACCCGCCATCGACTGTGTGCTCCTCGCCAGGCCTACACGCAGCCGGAACTTGTTCTCTCAGATGATTGGAAGAGGAATGCGTCTCTCCCAGGCCACTGGAAAGCAAGACTGCCTCATGCTGGATCTGGTCGGCACGCTTGAAAGGGGCGTTGTGTGCAGCCCTACCCTTTTCGGTCTAGATCCTGATAGCGTCAATGGTGAGCGAGATGCCTCCAGAGCGCAGCGAAAAGCATGTACACACACCTCAACACGCCTTCCTCTGCACCCTCAGAAGCAAGCCTTGAAGACTTGCGTGCCCAAGCTGACTCGCGGGAGAAGACCAGCGAAGACTCTCAGCCGGCCAGTGAGACTGAGGAGACCAACGAGACAGAGATCCCCGATCCCTCGAAGGTTACTTATGAAGAGTGGGGTCCGCTCGAACTGCAACGAGCAATGATGTCGCGAACCAGAGGCATCATTGAGCGGATGAGCCCAAATGCTTGGGTCGATTGTGGAGATGATATTTATGTGCTAGACTTGCCGCCGAAGAGGGGATACGTGAAGGTCGAGCGAGACGAAGAAGGCAAAGCGGAAGGGAAAGGAGGTGAGACGATGCAGAATGGGAATGTGTTTTGCCTGCTCCGAGAAGCTTATCCGATTGGTCATGCGCGACAAGAATGGGTCGCACACTTCACAGCGCGTAATGCGGATGCCGACGAAGCGGCGGCGGCATCGGGGGGCAGTTCGAAAGGAAAGAAGCGTTTGTCTCCTTTCCGGCGCCCGACGGAACTCTTGAGAGCCAGTGAGCTCGAAGCCGCCATTCGCGGTGCCGATTCATACGCCAATGGACGCGTTGGCAGAGGCCCTCAAGGGACTGGTCTGCTAGCGAGGTCGTCGCCATGGAGATCCAAACCTTCCAGCGAGAAGCAACGCGCTTTTGTAGAGAAGCGACTGGGTCTCGACAAGACCAGGGCAGCGCTAGCATCGGTGCAGGACGCCGAAGAAGACTCCCGAAGAAGCGAATGGAAAATCAAAAATCGGTCGCCTCGCCCGGGAGATGCCTTGCCTGCTCTGACAAAAGGTCAAGCCAGCATCATCTTGACGAAATTGCAGCACGGAGCCAAGGCGAGATGGGAGAAGCAAGCAAAGAAGCATAACAAAGCCGTCAGGGAGAAGAGAAAAGAAGACGAGAGGAAGGCCAGAGAGACTGTGCAAGTAGGCCCCTTGCCTTCTTCGTAAATTTATCTGCCCATGCATTGATCTGTACAGACAGGGTTCATTTCGATACCAATGTGATGCTTACATGCTCCAACGCGCTTCATGCTGGCCTGCAAAGAGGGTGTTGCGAAACGATGGAAAAGCGATATCATGACTGCTTGGCCCGTTTTGCCCTCTGCGGATGCGATCCGGGCGTGGGAGCGGGAGGGGAGACTCTGGAGCGTTTCCGCGTTGCGATGCCTGCTGACATGTCTTGCTCGGTAGAGGGAGAGGCTTCCGGAGCTTGTCGCCCATCGGCAACTCTGCCCGCTGCATGACGATCCTCCTCACTTTGCTCTGCAATTTGAGACGTTTGGCTCAGCGCATCCTCGTGCATTTCCTGTTTGATGCGCACTTGCGACTCTGGCGTCCTTTGCACCTCATCTTCACTGCCCTCTTCTTCCACACCTCTCTCGGATCGAAAAGGGCGCACAAGCGCGTTGATCCTTTCCTGTTCCGCCTCCCTCTCCTCGACTTTCATGACCAGCTTCAAGATTTTCCTCTTGTACATTACCTTCTCCAGCCGTTCATTTGCAGGGAAGGTCTCGACAGGCTCCTTGTCCGGGCCGTCTCTCGAATGAGGCTTCTTCGTAACTTCGATTGGAGCACCCGCTAGCGAAGCCGCTTCCTCTGAAGTGACCAGCAAGATCGACTTGTCCAGCACCGTCCTTCGTCTCCTGAAAGCTTTGGGAGCTAAGAGTGTCTCCAAACCCGCCGTGTTATTCGCGTGTGGGATGGTGGAGGCAGGGACAGAAGGGACGAGGAGCGGATCATCGAGCACGCCCCGCACATCGCAGTTTGGCGTTCGCAAAGAGGCAAATTTGGAATAATGAGACGTTTCCAAGGCTGAGGGCTTCCTCCGCCGACGAAAGTGGGACCACCCACAAGGGCCCAAAGGGCTGTACATGTCCGCCTCGCCCGACCTTTTTCGACCCATTTCTGCCAATCCCGAAAAAGTCATCTCGTAATCTTCTCTCGCATGCTGCTGCTCAGATGCCCAGCGCGGCTTTGCGCCGCGTACCTCGAGATCGACGATGCCCTTCAATCGCTCAGCAACATTCTCCACATCCTCGGGAGAAGCTCCAGCAGCTTCAAGCCTGTCGAGCACGCTCTGTCCATCCAATCGAGGTCGGAGAATGTACGCGCTCGGGGTGCATTGATGTAGCAAGCGAAATAGCGCAGATTGTAGACGAAGGGCTCTGGGCAGTAGATCTTGGGGTGGTGACAGTGATCTTGAACGCAAATTTGAGCCTGCATCGAAGAGTGAGGAGTGACCCGAGCCTGATGATCCGCTGTCGGAACGTGGAGATGCTCTGGATTTTGAGCTGCTTGATGAGCTGCTGCTGCTCGCGCTGCTACTTGATGCTGATGATGTAGACGAGCCGCTGCTCGAGAAATCGCTGTCGGGCGACTCGCTCATCTGCTTGCTACGGGTCTCGTTTGGAGAGTTCCGCATCTCGACGCTCCCGCTAGCATAACGTTTGGAAGCCCTTCGATCCGCGCCGACCGCGCGCTTGCGCTCACGGCGATCATCCCTTTCGGCTCTCAAGACCGCTTGCAGCTCGTCGATGAGCGCCATTCCTTCCACCTGCTGTGAGGGCCATCTGCTGCTCGTAATGTCGGGCTTGGGAGGATGACGGTAGCCGATGCTCGTTCCTATCGATGATTTTTTACCGTCAACCGTCCTGAGCCTGTGTGTGATTTCCAGATCCATCTCGGAAAGCTGCGCGCCTCTGCGATCCCCATCTTGTGCTAGTTCCCAGTCTGCTTGACGCTCTTTGCGTTTGCCTCTACGTCGAGCCAGGGATTGCTCAGACATCAAATTACCCACCTTGAGACCGCTTTGAGTTAACCATTGCGCAGCGGGACTCATGTCAACCTTGAGGAGATCGTCGAACATGTCCAGCTCTTGCCTCGTCAAGTTCTTCCTGCGTGGAGTCAAGCTGTGTTTGAGTCGGGCTCTCCTCTCTGCGCGCTCTTCCTCTTCTTCCCCCTCGGACGCCGAGTCTGCAGAGCTGGACGGTCTTCTGTTCGCGTCGGATGGACCAGATGTGGATGCCTGCCCATACGCATTCCTATTGGAACTCGCGTTCGCGTCCGGGTACGAATTGGAGGCTTGCCAATCGCTCTCATCGCTATCGGCCTGTGAAGGCAGTGCGAAAGAGGAGCCAGAAGCGGATGGGTAAAGAGCCAACTCTGACTCGGGCGAAGATTCGGCGCTGGATCGAGACAGCGTTGGTGAGAAACCGGTGGAGCGAAGCTGTGACTGGGAGGCTGCTCGAGCCGTTCGAGCTGCCGCTCGGATGGGTCGCGCCATTGTGTGATGGCTGCGAATGCTACGAGCTTCCCTTCGGCCCGACTGATGTTCAACTTGGAGTGCGCTAGCCGAGCGTGAGCTGTTGAGTCAAGGTTCTACCTGCCTCTCGGGCGCCATTGCCTCAAGGCCATGCGAGCCTATTCTGCGCGCTTACAGGCGAAGCGTTGACCAATCGCCTCGTCGAGGTGCTCAGAGCTGACGATAGGTCAGTGGTAGCCGTGAGACGCGCTTTGGGGATGATGGGCGGCGATGCACGCATAGAGGCTGCTTAGCGAGGTTCCCCAATCGTACATCGTGAATAAGCGAAGCAGCAACCACGATGCGAATCTGTGTGAATGTGAATGTGAATGTTAATCACGAATCGCGAAACGTCGATAAAAGTTAACTTCCTCGCACCTTTCGCTTTGGCGCGTCGGACGTCAAGTTGTCCCGCCAGCAGGCGCGTGGGGCGTTCGCTCATTCGCTCGGCCGATCAGGACCGGCCGACCAGTTCCTTGGCGTGCAAGTCTCATCAGTCTCTCACACATCTGCACTTTTTGGCCATTCTTCATACGCCACAATGCAAAAGAGAGAGCGCCGCCGAATCATCAGTCAGGCAGCTCAATCTCGACTGTGAGGCGAGGCAGCATCGATCAGATGTATCTGCATTGCGAGGCAAGTTCCGTATCAACAGGGTCAAGACTTAGGACTGCAGATGTTGTCTGTACTATTACAACATTAGGATGAAGGAGTGCTGGGCGTGAAGGGTGAATATGTTGAGGGAAAGCCGAGAGATGATTGTGGATGCCGTTCACAGTGCATGAGAAGCGCGTTCCCGTATCGGAAAGGCGCTTCACCTAGCTGGTGATAGACAGACCATATTCCGCTTTGGACGGCAGATCCTTTTCCACATACTTCCACGCTTGGCACTCTGCAGCATTTTCAGACAAGCGCGTGGGAATTAGCGTGGTGCGTGGAGCAGTGGGAATTAGCGTGGTGCGTGGAGCACAATGGCATCTCTTCTTGATATTCAAGACTTACCGACGCATTTGCGCTCATTCGTGATAGGGGGCGTCTGTTGTAATCTCTTCAGCTCGTCCTCATCAACTTTGGATCCTTTCTTGCCCTCTTGATACTCCCTGACTTTGTCTCCCCAGTCCATCCCAAACACGTCATCCACCAGCGTGGCTATGCGGTGCGTCAGCACGTTACTGCTCCAGTCCAGCAGCCTTTCCGTGTCGTACAGCACAACTTGACCGCCGTGGCACTTGGATTCCATTGCAAAGCCGGCGGTGGCGCACGCGCTGATTGAACCGATGCATTCTCCCACTGCCGCGTGACGCAAAAAAAGTCAGCGTCAAGCTCGTAGCGCCTGCTGACTTCGCTTCGAAACGCCTGGAAGGTGGACACGCTTACGCAGCCTACTCACTGGGAATAGGATCAGCGGTATGATAAACACTGGTCACGTGCGCCGCATCAGCCGGAGTGTGGCCCTTTGGAAATGGCAAATGAAGTCGCTGAGCTGCCATCCTCTCTGCTGGCGCTTCGAATGAGACGACAGGCACGCCAAAAGTGTACCCGATCAAGGCTCCAAGAGCTCCTCCCAAAGAGTGGCCAGTCACCTGTCAAGAGTTGTCGAATGGTCGCATACATCGTGAGCTATATTTCAAAATCGCGAAGGGGCTACACATAACTTCAACGGTCCACTCACCCAAATTTGGCTGTCAGGATACAAATAGCTGACATTGTTGTAAAGATCTGTTGTGGCCGGGTAGTACAGACTTTTCTCCACCAAGGCTCGCGAAAGACACTTCTTGCTACAAGTAGGCACAGAGGCTGCTCGATACAGCTCTGATCCGATGGAAGTCAAATTGCCGTCTGGGTCGTCGGGCGGAGCGGAGTCCCCAAAGCAGTCACAAACGGTGTGCCATGTCCAACCGACATGGGCGCAGCAGCACGAGAAGAGCAAGTTGTCCTGATGGTGTAACGGCATCCGTGGTCAGCACGTCCATGAGGACGTGGCACCGTCAAATCGCATTTACCACTCACATTCATCTTGTCTCTCCTTGCTGTCTCTCCTCCGCCACCCGGGAGGACTGCAGCGCTGGTGCCCTTCAGCGCCAGCACAACAGTCTTATTATCCTCACTGGCAAACACATGACCTCGAATGCCGTCCTCGACCCAACCAAAGCTGCTGCTCAAGTTCCAGCCTCCATCAGCGTTCCAACCCCCGTCTGGCAAGCCCGTATCGTTGGGCGCATAGTACGCCAGATTTGACATCTGCGCGAGGGTCCTGAGGGTAAGCCGGTCAGATACGTTGGGCTGAGAGATGGACACTGTCTCGAACGAGTCCTCATCCGCTTGAAGTGTAGACAGGGCTTCTACGAAGTCTGTCCGTCTTGCCTCGAGATATCTCTTCGGATCGCGCAGTCGCGTGACAGGTTTCTGCACGGATCGCAAAGTGAAGGCCTCGGCGTTCAAGCTTCGCATCTCGCCTCCGGTCTGTAGGCTAAGCCGCTCGATGCTGGGACGCTGCCGTGGCGCATAGATGGCCCTCCGACCGTCGTAAGACTGATGGTGGGCAGACGCTAGTGTAAAGCCTTTGATAATGCCTGCCTCGACAGAGTCATCGCTACCCCACCAATGGTGCAAAGTGCTTGAAACGGATTGCATGACTAGGCTGGCTAAATTGGCTGGACTGCTCGTAAAGGTGTCCACTTGCACGGCTTGAGCGTGAGAAGACGACAGCAAGATGACACTCGCCATCGCCACAACCAAACGCTTTAAAGAAGTTCGAGGTGGCCGCATCTTTGTGCTTGCGGAAGTGAAAGCTTGAGGCACGGAGGGGATGTTGCTACAAGTGGCAATCACGTACCACAGAGGCAGAGAAAGGGAGTTGATGGGGCCTGATGGATGTTTGATGGATGCAAGATGTGGCTAAGTGAGCCCTATGGACCGCAAGTGATGCGGTGCGACGCTGCGTGGTGGAATGTCTGCTGTGAGGGAGGATTCGAGGCTGATATGACGAGGATGTTGTGGAGGTTACTTGTGCAACCAAATAGCTGCGCGTGCGCAGTTGTGAGCAGCCCAGGCCCCTTTGCATGCAGGAGGCCATGCAATTCGAGCTGAACTTACGCACGGTATAGAGAACGCGGCGGTGTAGAGGCTGGACCACACGCGATGCACCAAATCATGATCGAGCCGCAACAGTGCGTCCTTGTGCATGAGGGGCGCTGGATTGATGCGGCGGATGGACAGAATATCGGTCACGAGTGCCGCGGAGTGTAGGTCGTAATGCAGTATGAGTGATGGTATGTTGCCCAGCAGCTGCCATCCAAATCAAGATTACTAATTGTTCGTGATTAGTATTGATATGATGATGCATGGTGCATCACATGCGCGCGTGCGGGCGACGACGTGCATGATCATTAATTCAGTTTGACATGGCCGGGCGCGCGCCAAAGCAGCAGCACCAAAGTCCATGCAGACGCGGTGTTGCCTTTGAGGCGCCAGAGCAGCAGTCAGCGACAGACCGTTAGGATGGACAAGCTGCCCTGAACCAGATACCAATTTGTATTGCCCATTTCAAATTCTACGTCGAAGCTCCGCTGCGGCTACAACAAGATTTTCTTCCTCCCGTTCTGTATCCGCTGCCGCGATGCATGAGCCAAGAAGAGCCAGCAATCGTGAATTCATTACTCGTGATTCATGGGTGTCTGCGATGAGCATCGGACAGCCTTCCTCCACGATTGCTCTTCTCCCTCACCAAAGCATCCGGTCACCGCCATCTTCGTCAAGCATCAATTGTGAATCGCAATTCGCGCGTTTCAAGAATTGCACCTCGCCACCAAGCCTCTCACTCGACTGACGCACATCGAGGCCACATTGTGATTGCGCCCAAAACCAAGCCCTGCCCGACAAGCATCACTCGCCAGCTTAGCAACGCGTAAACGCTCAAGAACTCCTCCAGCAGCCTCCTTTGGTCGCTGCCTGCTTCTCGTCATCCGCAACCGCAACCCTGTTGCTGCTCCCCACTTCCGCTTCCTTCAATGTCAACTGACGATCCTGATAATAGAGCCTTACCTTCAAGTCACCGCTCACCGCCTTCCAACATCACAGCTTTTCTGAGCTCCGTCTCTCCCCGCCCGGCATACAAACCTTGCTCTCTCCCTTCATCCAAGGTTCAGGCTCTTCCTCCGCTCGATCGTATTCCCGACCCCCCACCTCTACCGCTTCCACTCTGCCCGCCCTAGCATCGCCAAGCGACCCGATTTCCTCATCCATTTAATAGACTCGGCTTCTCTGGATTTGACCATCAGCGTGCCATCAGACAAATGACATCACTGGCGCACTCGCCCGGCTCGCCTTTTGACCAACATCTTAGCACAAGTACGCCAAAAGCAGTGGCTCAGTCTGCAACACTGCAAATGCCCGCTCTTGCACTGCCACGGGGACACGATACCGCAGATGCGCTTGCCAAGCTGCACTTGAGCGCTAAGTCGGCCCTCCGCGATGCCGATGCCCCTCCCTCCCCAGGTCGACGCGAGGCATTGCAAGCCTCCGAATCTCAGCAGCAGCTAGCAACAAAGGAAGACGACGAGGAGCCGCAAGGTCCATTCGAGGGTCCAGAGAAGCTCCTCGAGCTCTGGTTCGCCCCTTCAGCTTCAGCACTTCCCAACACAGCTATGAGTGGCACATCAGCTCAAGGTCCTAAGAGGGGTCTTTGTGCGATAGAGAGACCCAGATGGGAGGCCATGCTGGATCTTGTCAGCTGTAAAGTGTTGAGCGTGATCGAGAACGAGAACTGCGACGCATTCCTGCTCAGGTGAGTTTGTTGGAAATCTCACCACGCCTCAATGTTTGGTTCGCAAGCTAGATGTCTTACCCCCTCGCTTGGTACCATGCAGCGAATCTTCAATGTTCGTCTTTCCCCATAAGCTCATTCTCAAGACCTGCGGTACGACGACCCTTTTGCTTGGGCTGGAGCGCATCTTGCGTCTCGCGCACGAAGCGCTCGGCCAGGCGCTTCCTGCTGAGGCGGAGGTCGAGGAGAAGCCGATCGCGTGCTCCGACCCTTCAGTGGTCATCTCTTCACGCGAAGAGGAGTCCGCTCGAGCACTCGGTCGTATCGTGCAGACGGCATTCTACTCTCGAAAGAGCTTCATGTTTCCCGAGAGGCAAAAGGGACCACACAGGGATTGGATGCTGGAAGTGGCGGTGCTGGACAGGTACATCGAGAGGGGCTCCGCCTACACTGTGGGGAAGATGAACGGAGACCATTGGTTGTTGTACATGGCTTTAGCCGATGCCTCAGACCAAGAGCAACGAGCTGCATCAGTCTTTGCAAACAAGCTGATTGGACTCCAAGACGATCACGCCCCCATCGAAAGGCCTCTGGCTCTACCTGCATTGGGCCACCCTGGAAGCGATCAAACGCTTGAAGTGCTCATGACGCACCTCTCACCGGCGTCTTGTGCCCGACTCGCGTATCCTGCATCGCTCCTGGCACCGGCTGGAGTTGACCGGGGGCATCACTTGGGAGAGCAGACCTCCGACCTCTTGGGTCTTAGTGCTCTGTTTCCTAACTCTCAGCTCGACGCGTACGCCTTTGAGCCTTGCGGCTACTCTGCAAACGCGCTTGTTGCCGAGTCCGCCTTCAACGGTGCAGGCTATTGGACTGTCCACGTCACACCGGAGGAGGACAGCAGCTATGCAAGCTTTGAGACCAACGTGGAGATCGAGACTATCGAGCCTACATTTGAGGGGTCGGAGGGGGCCGCTGCGGACGAGAACAATGCGCTCGCAAAGACGGGCATCAACAGCTTCGAAGGCTTGGTCGAGCGGGTAGTGAGCATTTTTGAGCCTGGTCGGCTAAGCGTCACTCTTTTTGTCTCCACTTCTCGAGTCGAGGAGAATGAATCGGGCGAAGATGCGTCAGAGGCTGCTGGCCATGCCAGCCAGGATGCGGGTACGGATATGGATACCACATCGACGCTGAATGCTTCCACTCTGCTCAATGCCGATGCTGGCACCAAATTGCACTCGCTTGAGCTGCTCGGCTACCGACGTACGGACAGGATCTTGTACGAGTTCGAAGGTTACGACCTCGTCTTTGTCAGCTTCGACAAACGAGGAGCCAGATTGCCAAGGCGGTAGAGGCCAGCGGAAAGCAGCTACACAGCCGTCGTCAATTTGCACACAATTTCACGAAGTTGAGGTTCTGACGATGATTTGTATCAAGTTCATCATGTTTGGTACATGCGTGCTCAATACTACTAGCTCATTGCAAACTCTGTTCTTCCGTTCTGGTCAACAAAGTTGCCTTTGATGGCAAAGCCTGTTCCCGGGGGTCGTGGAAGTTGTTTGGCTTTTGCATTAGCAGAAAAGGGCATCCTGGGCCAGTTTGCCATCCTTCCAGTACCTCTTTCGCGCTTCGAAGGTACAAGTGGTATTCTTTCTTCCCCAAGTCTCGTGACCATACCCGGGGTCTACGACCAAATAAGCATTACCACTTCCCAATTTTCGGACGGCTTCCTCAGCGTTAGCCCGCGGTGTGATGGAGTCGTACTCGTTAGAGATAAAGAGTGGGGGCGTGCGAGGTTTAGAGGCCAAGATGGCTCCCTGCCATCTGCCTGCTGGATTCGACCAACCCAAGCGCGAGCAAGATGTGAAGAATTCGCTATTCGGAGCCGGGGCAAAGTGTCTAGAGGTGTGGATGGCTCTTTGGGAAATTTCTTGCACCAGGTCGTCGACTGTCACGTTGTCGTCGTTTGCCGCGTCTAGACAGTAGACGAGTTGCGTGACAGAGTTCCAGGCTGTTCCGTCCGTGTGATTGCCTGCGCCGCCGCCTCCCGTGATGGAATAGGTGTCGTTAAAGGCGATGGCATATGCCAAGTCCCAATCGTCATCGAGCATCGTCTTCCAGGTCCAAGTCATATAGTCGTCCCGATTGTCCCACCAATCGTAAGAGTACATGTTCATCGCCCTGAATATCATGTCTCGATATGCCGCAATGGTGATCAAGCCATTCAACGCGCTGTCGGCGGCGGGATACGTCTTGTTGCCCGGCTTGACGAAACGCGGATGGTCGTATAACTTTGCCCACGCTTGGTCGATGCGGGCTAGTATCTCCGAGCGCGTCTTGCCATACTCGAGCAGTAGGCACTGTGACTTGTTAGCCTTGCTGACGCAGTCGTCGAGCCATCGCAGCATGACCTTTTCGGTGTCGAGCAGCGCATCGATGGCTGGCTGCTTGTAGAGATGTTCTCGCAGAGTTGCTGTCAGATTAGCATTCGCTTCCAAGATGAATTTGCCTGCAAATTGCGGAAACATGCTGAGATAAAGTTGGCCCGTGCCAGCTGCCGAATAGGAAAAGCCGAGAAAGTGCATCAGATCAACGTTCTCCACGTCTTGCGGGCTCGCGTTGATAGCTCCTTTCGCGGAAGATAGAGCGAGCAGTCTTCGAATGTACTCCAAGTCTAGCACGTTGAAGTAGGAGCCCATATATGGAGCGAAGTCTAAGCTCTCTTTTGAAGAGTGCTCGAGACATCCGCGCTTCATGTCCGCAAGGCGATCCCAGGCGTTTTGCACCGAGCTGCGCACTTGCTCTACGTGCTTCGACGTAAAGCTGCCACCGTCACGAACAAGTGGAATCTGTATGGAGGACTGCACGCCAAATCTGATTTGCTCTTCGCCCGATTTGAAGCAAGTTGGAGCGGAAGGGGTGGAGCTGAAGACTCCCCTTTGGTCCCAGCCGAAGATTTCATACTGACCTCCTGTCAGCTCCTCCATTTTTTCATGACCATCGAGAACAGAGACTGGACCTGATGCACCCGGACCTCCTGGATTGGTGAAGACTCTTCCGGATGGCTTGATCTCGCCTTCGACGATGCCGAGGGGTCTGTATCTCAATAGGCCGATGTTCGCACGTCGCTTGTCAGAAAATCGAGTGTAGTCGTACGGTACTTGAACAGTAGCGCAGTCAACTTGCTTATGCACATAGGACGTCGCATTGATTTCTGAGGGGAATTTGCCAAAGACTTCCTTGAAGACACGACTGCAAACTGCAGAGTCGTACGCGAAGGTAAGCGGAGAGTTTGAGGGATTTGCTGTCATCCACGCAGCGATCGTCGATGAAGGATCGGCAGGTGGGGTAGGTAACGCTGCTCGGTCCATCCTGATGCACGTCGCACTGGCGATGCTAACAGCGATGACAACCGCAAGGGGTCTGTGCCTCATCTTGACGAGCCAAAGGTGACGATTGAACGGTTCGGAAGGATGAGGATTCAGGAGGGTTGATGCATGACAGCATTCTCGAGCCCATCAGTCCTCCTGTGGCCAAGTTGCAACGCTCTTTATAGTCAGCATTGTGATGACCGGCTCCTCCAAGTACGCCCCGGCGTAGGGGATCCTGCAGTGAAGTACTGCGCTTGAGCAGCTCTAGACCGCACCGCGAAATCAGCCGTCATGACTTTGTTTGCCTGTTTGTTGGCATTTGTTATTTGATGGAGACAAGGGTTGTTATTTGTATCATCGAAGTGCGCGTGCGCAGACCAGGTACCTATATCTGATGCTTCAACACTGACGCTGCGCCAAGAGAGTTCTGAAGCACAACCTGTCCAATCGATCTTTGTTGACGAAAGCGATTCTTCAAGGCCATCCGCGCGCCCGCGCGAGTCCCATTTGGGCTGCAACTCACAACAGCGACGTGGTGGGCTCTGTGGATAAGCGGACATCGGGGAGCACAATGTGGAGCAGAAGATGTATGCCCAGGGAAAGGGGAAAGAAATGCATATAGTCGGATGCGCAGACCTTGGTTTCCGGAACGGCTGTCCCGAGTGAGTCAGATGAGGGCGCCGCTAATCGCTCCTCACACATTTGACAGCACTCTCCATCTTTCGACCATTGTGCAGGACTAATTGTTTCGGGTGGCTCATTCAGTCCAACGCAGCAGCGTTGAGGCTTTGTACATTCATCGCTACTGCAATGGTGGAGCGTGCTGGACTGAGTCATCGCCAGCGCGCGATGCGCCTTGATGTGGGCAGAGAGCGTCGCAGCACCCTTGTTCATGTCCGAGCATCTTTCACTTTCGCCGCAGGTTGCGATGGTGGGCTTCGCACGAGCTGACAGCCTCGTAAATGACATCTGTATGTCCGACCATCCGGCCTCGGCTCACCACCATCTCGCGGATGATGATGATGATGATGATGATGATGATGATGTTTGTTTTGAACAAAATGTGCAGTCGTACCCGCAGCACCAGCAACCAGCGCACCGAATCCCAAGAGGGCCACGGCCTCTCTGTTATTTGCGAGGTGTGCTCTTATGCTCTCGCTCGAATTCTGGATTGTACCATAGAGTGCAGAATGGCGGAACAAGTCTACAGCGCGGCAGGCCAGGTTCCAATTGATGAAACGCTTGTGGAGCGTCGATTCGACGCGCTCGTATGAATGCTCCTTCGGTCCACAGCGTGATGGGCGGCGTGCCAAATCACGCTTCCTGAGCTGAGGCGCACTGCTCGCTGTCTGTCGTCCCGCGGCTTTTTCTTTCCACTTCTGAACGGCCTTGCGAAGCTTGTCGAGACCAATGTCTTCTCTTGTCCTCTCGAGGAACTTGTACTCCTTGACGCTCGCCAGTCTCGGCGAGGCAAGCATGGCAAGACGTCTCCGAATTCGAACTATGGTAGGCAACGTGCTTTTCCTGTACGTGCGCCGTGTCGCCGTGTGTACGTTCGGCGTCACGTCGTAGACGAGCTTCCAGCTAACATGACGCCGCCGCCGCAGCATGTGTGGTTGTCCTGAGCCACACGTTGGGCGCATCACTCGAACGGGCGTGACAGTCTGAAAGGCTACCTGGCCACCACGACGTAAGAGGCTCGTGGGATTGAATATTGGTTGACCGTGCGCGCGTTGAAGGTGCAGCCCTCTGTGCTGATGTTGTCTTGCTGATGGTTTTGGTGTCAGCGGTACTTTCCTCGTGGGTATGGCCCATCCTATTGGACCAGCGTCGGCGGTACCGTAAGTGCCCATGATCGTTGCTCTCGCCACTCGGTGTGTCTGGGTCCCGTCGACTGCGTGCATGGCTTTCCCTGCGCTACCGCGGTGCTGCTTTAGCTGCAGCGCGCTTCGAAGACCTGTAGGGGAAGGTGCTTCGTACAACAGGACTGGCCGGGAGAGGGCCAAAGACAGCCTGCGGTAGAGCAGAGAGACTCCTGCGACGGGGGGAAACCGCATCCACCTCAATAAATGGGATTCTTCCGATCCAGTTGGACTCCAGTCGTGAGTGATCCGAAAGCGTGCCGCTCTAGTGGCTTGTGGTTCGCTTAAACTGCGCTTCGTGGGATGGGCGCCTACGTGAGCTGCTAACATTGCTACGGAAGTGAGGACGGCGTCTTCGTCAATGCCAGTTGTGTTTCGCTTGCGAGGAGGAGGGTTAGGTAGTCTCGGTCCTTTCTGCGCGTGCTGCCCTTGAGAATGATCATCGCTAGCCCGCGAAGGCGGAGCAGTCTCCTTGTGAGCTTTGTCACCAGATGCTGACGCCGAGGTCGAGGCTGATGGCGACGTAGCTTTCACAGAATCTAGATGTTTGGCACGCTGCTTGCGCTTTTTCTCTTCTTTTTTGTAGTGTTCGACGATGTCAGCGCACGAGACCAGGCATCCAAACACGGAGACACCGGTGATGGCAGTGATCGGGAGCCCAACGCGAGGGTCGCGAAAAGCAGCGACGAAGCGAGCTCGAGCTGCTTCCGAAGTGGTCATCACCCGCTCGTACGCTCTTGGTGCAGTACCCGTCACAGGGCGTAGAAGTCGCCTGACAAGTGGTCGTATCTTGACCAGCGACTTCAGGCTTGCGCTGCCCTGCTTGCTCTTCTCCCCCAGCCTCACTTTGTCGTGAAGTGAGCGAGCGTGCATGGTCTCCTCAAGATATTCGAAAGGTCTGATTGGCCGAGCGCAGACGGTGGTCAGCAAAAAGAAGATGGCCAGCCAGACGAGGAGAAGGCGCATGACGATGCGATGAAGGCGGGGAGGCTGCGTCGTCGATGGAGCTGATCAGATCGGGTCTCGTCCAGGGAGTCAAGAAAGTATGAGAGGAATGGACGCCAGTGGCAGCGGCGGTGCTGAAGTGGCTATGAGCAACACCTTCTCAAGCGTATTTAAAATCAACGGGTGCAGATGAGCCGAGTCACTCGGCGGGCACCATCTATCGCTGATGTTAACCCTAAAATTACTGGTGGCGAGCGACCCACTCGCCACCAAGGCATGTCTGGACCGTGGGCGCCAAGGCATACTACGAACAGCTTGCGTTGTAGAACGGGGCGAAAGCTGGACTCAGACATTGTATGGCGTGATGAAGCCTGCCACATCAATCAGTGGGTGCATTCGACATGCCACTTCCACAATTCGGGTCTGCGACCTTCACAACAGGATGCCAAAAGGTGGACGCCGAGCATCGCGAGCAACGAGATGTCGAGCGGGGAAAGTGGCGGGTCGCAAGTGTTGCGAGCGGACTCGGCTGAAAAGGAGGGGTGGCGTAAGGCGGCCGTGAACGAGACCTGCTTGCCCCTAAGCGTCGGTCGCAGCAACTCGAATGACGGCAAGTGCTACATGGGAAGCAAAAGGGTGACTCGCGTGTGATCACTAAGCGTCATCATTTTGAAGCTCGACTAGATGGTGTAAATTCTTGGACCTGCTAGCGACTTTCAAGGTGGACACCCCCGAAGCTTCGCCAGGCCGAAGGCTACGAGCGGACCGTTTCAATTAATGGTCGAGCCGCTCGGAGCGCCTGACTGGAATTAGCAATTCCATCCATCCAGTGGCATGGCTGCGACTCGTGTGCTACATGCCTCCTCAACCTGCTACGGAAAGCGCTTGGCCATCCGACAGAAGGGTTGGCCCATCCATGCATGACGGCTAGCACTCCGGTCAGTTCAGAACCGAAGGGTCGCCTTGGACGCCTTTGATTGCCGTCGAGCACGCGATCATCTCGTCTAGTGATGACATGCAACTGCCTTGTGCGGCATTCATCTGTTGCTCCGGGCGCGACGCGTGAGCAGCATCACGAATCGTGATGATGTGTGTCAAGCGTGGGTGTATAGGGTTCAAGGTGTGCGTGTAGGTATGACCTTCATGCGCATTCACGGTTCTCTAAAGAGCATCTCCACAAGCTATACACGACAGGCTGTGTGGGGACTGCGTGGGGGCGTGGCGCAGAAGCCACAGGCTGCACGCGCACGTACCTCATCGGAGCCCGATCGAGGTCAGCATCTCGCTGCGCGCAATCTTGACGGATGCCGCTGCCTGCTTCGGCGCCTCAAAGAACCAGGCCCGCTCGTCTTGCCCGCCCCACCACCCCAAGCCATGCGCACCCATGCCCACACCTCGCTTTAGGCCCTTTTGAGATGACGACGTGCTGGAAAGGCGTTCCTTTGATCCATGCCGTGATTCACGTGATTGCTCGCTACACCACTGGAATGCCGATTCCACAGCCGCAAGTCTGGATTTGGCGACTTGCCTCGCTGAATGCACGCCTCGAAAGCCATGCATACCTCTTCTGCATCCAATTCAAGATTGCGAATGTGATTCCTGCGCCCATTCAATTCACATTGGTGATTCTGAATTGAGCTTCGCTCCGCCGCGCACCCAGGCGACCAGGAACCGCGCAGGCGGGACTCGAAGCCGAAAAGTTGATCTCGAATCTGAATGGTGAAGTGCCCATACGTATACCTATAGGTTTCTATGACGCTCAGCATGCAGGGACCCACGAGCTGCCCAGCAACAGTCGACGGTCAAGTGGCTCGTGCGCGCTCGCGGGGAAGACGTTATTGCAGCAGCAGTCACAGCTGAAGTGCTGCATGCATGCACGGCTCAGCTGTCTCATGCTTATATCCCCACAATTTGTGCGCGGCCCAATCATCACACACGGTATGTGCGCGGGTAAATTCGTGATTGCAACAGCACCCACGCGACAGGTTCCACATGACTTGGCGCCGGTTCATAGAGCGGCGCTCCCCTGTTTCAATTACTGTATGAGTCGCTCAGGTTGTGGCTGGACGACCTTTCTTCATGTGCCTTGTTGGCTATCCGTGAGTACAAAGCACGCATATGTCCTGAGCGCTAGCCGCTTACAGGGACTTTGACTGGGGTTGGCCAAGATCGTGTGCCGACGCGGCTTCTCCGCGAGCTAGGCTGGTACATGCACCGGTGGAGTCACACGAGCAAGCCGTGCTGTGCCGATTGTATTATGGATGAGCCTGTGAGCGCTGCCGTGGAAGCTAGGCTGAATCACGAATCCCTTGCCTAGCTTAGCCCACGGACGCACCCGAATTGAGGACGTGCTGGTTCGCAGCAGCCGCAAGCGGATAAGAGGAGGGCATCGAGCAAATGGGTGAATGGCTGTGCAGCCGCCTCAGACACGCAGCACGGCAGCATGGAGTCCCTTCAGTGATGTTTCAACTTTGAATCGCAGCAGGCAAGCCCGCCGTGCTACAGCTGATGGGCAGGACGATCTGAATGCGCTGCACATGGACTGACAGACAAAAATGGAGTCTGGTTTAGGCCGCCTTAGCCGTGCTATTAGTCGTCAGTCGTGAGTGCCTCTCACTATCCGCGCACATTGCCCGCCGCTGCTGCAAGGACTTGACTGGTCCGAACGCAAGCGGTGGTCTTGGATGCCCTCGTGTGTGTTGGGGCAAATTGAACCCGCGCGCAGTATATTGAAAGCCGTGCTGAGTGGCGCTTTCCCATCAGCCAAATAATGAGGGAGCAAGTAGCCGTGATCGTGCTTGAAATCAAATGAGGCCTCCCGCTGCAGGAGCTCCGCGTCTTGACGGATGCTACTCGCGATACGGACTCGGATGACGCACTCAGAGACTCAGACTCTGACTTCGACTTGCTCGACGCCTCGACCCCGGTCCTTGCACCGTTGCACGGCAAGTCCAAGCAGTCGATGAGTGGAGGTGGGTCTGCGGGGCAAGCCTTTGGCAAGCGGGGGCGCCGAGGAGCTGACACCTT